CATTAGGGAATTGAAAACGAAAAGAACAGTAGATTACCAGAAAAATAGAAGTCAGAAAGGGATTTGCCGATGTCCTACGACGGTTGCAGGAGCAGAAGACTGGTGGAAATCTCGCCGAAAGGAGTGAACGGAGAATGTTGCAGAGCTTTGGAAGCTTGAGCGATGGAGGGGGAGATTCGAATGAAAAAATGAAGAGACGGAAAAAAGGGAAAAAGTTTTTGATTAAACAGAAACGGCGGCGAAAGCAATCAATACGCCTAGAAGAACGAGGGTGTCAGACGGCGCACATGAAGAAAGAGGCGGCTAACAGGCGCGTCACGTATACGGACTAGTAAGAGGGAAACGCGTGGCTAAAACGGTTGGGTTGAAGTGCATGACAGCTCATGCGCGTGAGAAGGTCCTTAAAAATCTTGATTTTTTAGGGAAAGCATGTCGGCCTGAAATGAATGATCTCGGCTGTCAAATTTTAAGCCGATTTACTGGAAGAAAATACAGATATAGGTTCCATCACCTCAGAAGGCCGAGGTAATAGAACCTAGGGGGTAGTTGTGGGGATGTATTTTCTGAATACCAACACGTGGCAAGGTGACGCCGACGTGTCAGCCGAGGTGCCACGTGTCCTGGTTATGGCGCCGAGGTTATCTCGGCAAGGCCGAGGTTATCTCCGAAGATATCGGAATCCGAAATAAACGGATAAGGGACAAGAGTCCTAGAATGAAGAGGAGACTTAGTCAAAATGAGGATAAATCTCTTAGGGAGTTTATCTTTATCTCTTGAAGAGTCCAAAGTAAATACTGAGTTGGAGTCCATAGAAGTCAGGCTTCTAATGGGACTAGGATTAAGTGAACTATAAAAGAGAGACACCACCGTGGGTCTAAGGTACACAATTTTATGCTTTGAGTAGTGAGTTTAGCACTTGATTATCTTTGAGAGATATACTGACTTGATTGTCGGAGTGCCCCCGGGTGGAAGAACCACCGCCGGAGCCGTTTCTTTCTGTTACAGGTTAGCTGAAGCCATCTATTCTGCCGGTGCTCTCTAGCTGATTACTAAACGGGCAGTGTGATCGGAAAATTTTTCACACACTAATAATGATAAATTTCATCATATGAATGTATTTAATGGTGGGAATTATAAATTTTGGATGTGATAGAATTTATATGTACACATATGATGTTTATTGTGTAAATTCATATAAAAAATAAAACAATGATGAAATTTACTTACCTAATTAAGAAGAAAATTGTCAACAGTAAATAAAGATATTTTTATACAAAGAGATTTTATTTATTTTATTTTTAATAGAGTGAATGTAGACTATATTGACATCCAAATGAGATTGAGGTGTGAGAAAGCTAATGAAAATAAGATGCAAATACTTGTGAAACAGCACTGTACATATTAAATTTAATAAATAGGGTAAATTACATTTACCTCCCCTGAGGTTTCTGACAAATACAGGGACCTCCCTTGTAGTTTGAATAATTACAATAACCTTCCCTACTTTACCTGATAATGTCAAGATTCTCTCATTCTATCACAATGTTCCAAACAGTGTTACTTTTTCTATAGTAAATTACCTTATTGCCCTTAATTTTAAAATATTAAAAAATATTTTTGGATTGGATGACAGGTTTGGAAGAAGCAAACGGTGTTTGGAACAGTACTTTTTTATTTATTTTTTTTTAAATATTAAAAAATGTTTTAAAAAATTATTATTTTATTTTAAATATATAATTTTTATTTTAAATATTTAAACAAAATTTGAATAGTTTTTTATTTATTTTTTAAATATTTAATTTTTTTTAAAATTTTAAAAAATTTTGGATCGCCCATATATATTTAAATCATACAAATTATTTGAATACTTAAAAAAATAACAAAAATTTTTTTTTGAAAAAAGAAAAAAGGAAAAAATATTTTTCTTCAAAAAAAAATAAACAAGTATTTTTTGAAAAAAATATAAACTAAAAAATAATTTTAAAGAACAAAATAAAAAATTGAATTTTTTTTTTAAAAAGAGTTTTGAAAATAGTTTGGTTATCAATTTTGAAAAAAGTTTTGAATTGTGCGTTTGGCTATAAGTTTTCAAAATAATTTTTGAATTAAGTTTTGGATTGTATATTTGATTATGAGTTTTGACAATAATTTAAAAATATTTTGATTAGAATCACAATTTTAAAATTAAACCAAATACTATCTAATATTCTTATTTTTACGACAAACAAAAATAATAATAAATACACAAAGACAAAACGACCGCCATCATGTGCTAACCCACGTGACTACCTATCATGGGGGAAGTTACTGGTTGGTGCAGCTCCACATTCATTGTAATGGGTAAAAGTGGTGAAATTTACGATTTTATATTAAGCTATTAAAAAATATAAAAAATTATAATTGGTTAGCGGTGAGCGGTTTAATTCGGTTTTTTTATAAATTAAGAACCAATTATTACTTACGATTTTATAAAATTTGAAATTACATCCAACCAGGAACATGTAATTTAATTCGGTTTGAATTCACGATTTTAATCAATTTTGTTATCATTCACAACACAATTACAACTTGCTCAAAGATCACATAAATATATTATCATTTTATAAATAAAATTACTTAAATAATTATTACGAGAATACACATGTAAACAAATGGTTAACAATTTATGAATATTTTTAGAATATTAGGGGTTTGTTTGAAATATGGATTGGCTTTTTGATTATTTTAATCTAAGTTAGAAAATCTCGTTTGAGATGAATTTTTTGACTCTTTTGATTTTTGTAAGAGAAAAAATAAAATGATATTTTTGAATTGAGTTTTGAGTTATGTGTTTGATTACGATTTGAGTGTGAAGTTGTGTTTTGAGTTTAAAATATTTACAAAATAAAATAAAATATTTAAAAATATTTAAATAAAAATTATATATTTAAAATAAAAAAATAAAAAAAAAATTTAAAACATTTTTTAATATTTTTAAAAAATAAATCCAAAAATATTGTTCCAAACACTGTTTGTTTCTTCCAAACCTGTCCTTCAATCCAAAAATATTTTTTAATATTTTAAAAGGAAGGCCAATAAGGTAATTTACTATAGAAAAAGTAACACCGTTTGGAACAATTTGACAGAAGGGAGAATCTTGACATTGTCAAGTAAAGCAGAGGAGGTTACTGTAATTATTCAAACCGCATAGAAGATCCCCGTATCTGTCAGAAATCTTAGGGGAGGTAAATTTAATTTATCCTAATAAAAAATAAAGAATTGTTAGGTTTGATTCATTACAATCCCTTTGAGTTGGAATGGTTTGTAATGATCTAAATAAGTGTACTTTTTTGACTTTTTATTAAATATGGGTTTGGTATAAGTTGGATTTGACATAATGTGATAGAGAGGTGATGTGACTTAAATAGAATAGTGATTTTTTTAACTTTTTGACATTTTTAAGTTATGACAAATAAGACTTTAAATTTCGTGAGTTGAACTGTAGTCAACAGTTACCTAACCATTCTCTAAAAAAATTGGATTCAAATCAATTTATTTGTTCATTTTTTAAAAAAAACCAGTAAAAAAAATGTAAGATGTGGCGTGACAAACACATTTATATAATTAAATGATTTAAATTGATGTTTTGTTTTAAAATAATAAGTCTACATTATTCTATATGAAAGAAAATAACATGCGTAATTATATTATTTCAAGCGGAAATGATTTGGAGATCAGAATACTTGAATTACGAGCCTTGTTTGAAAAATCTTCCGTCAATTAAGAATTTACAAAAGTTTCTCAATATTACATCCACACTCTAAATTTTTAAGTTTAACTATGGTGAACTAAGAGACAAGAATATAAAAGATTTTTTGAGTAAACTTGCACACCCAATTATACTTATCTTGGTTTATGTATAGAATATAACTGTGTGCAGATAGAAGTGGAGTTGTAGACTCCTACAACCACTCTAACACGTCCAAGGATAATCTCTTTAATTATCTTATTTATTTAATAAGTGAATTATCTATAACCTATGTAGACGCTTCTACTTCATGGTAATGGATAGCAGGTCAATTTTGACCTAATTTCCAACATATAAAGAAAAATATTTGAGACACTTAATTTATCACCCTTAAAATCACCCCTAATAATATATTTGATAAGTGTTAAATTTTGATTTGTCAAATATTCTATCATATAGGGTCCAATCTCAATGTCATATCATTAGGGGGTCATTTAGGTTGATAAATTAAGAGATATAGCATTGTTGATAGGATAAATTGCACTTTACCCCTTTTATATTTGGCCACCTTTTCAGTTTGGTCCTTAAAATTTATTTATTTTTTTCACTTTGACTATTTATGTTTCAAGTTTTTCCCACTTTACTCTTCATTATTTATTTTTTTCACTTTGACTATTTATGTTTCAAGTTTTTCCCACTTTACTCTTCAAGTTAATTATTGTTCAAAATTAGACAAAAAATGACACATTAACAGTCACGTGGTATAAAAATATTTTATTATATACAACTCACACATCTGACATAAACTTAAATTCTAATATAATAATATATTTTTTATATTATGTGATAGTTATTGTGATATTTTCTATCTAATTTTGAATAAAAAAATAACTTTAGGAGTAAAGTAAGAAAAACTTGAAACATATTTTGGGAAGATGGTTATAATCAGCTTTTTAGTTAAAAGCTGCTTATAAGGAGCTTTTTTGTGAGAGAGGATGTGGGTTATAATCTGAGAAGTGGATTATAACTCACTTCCCAAAAGAGGCTAAAGTAAAAAAGTGACCAAACAGAAAGGGGTAAAGTGTAATTTACCCAATGTTGATATATAAATCATGTTTTTTAAATAAATAAAAAAATTTGTTTAATGATTATTACTTTTAAAACAACTAAACAAACGCCTGATTCCCTAATCAAGGACTAGGATAGGATGATCCCGAACAGGTATAAGGAAATCTATAACCGGGTTGTGGAGTTTACCGACTTCTTGCTATCGTAAACCGCAAACCATTCTGAGATCTGTGAAAACACTCTCAGTCAGCTCTCTCTCTCTCTCTCTCTCTCTCTCATAAATAATCTCGGTTATCTCTCAAAATCGCTGAATTGTATCGAAAACAACTGAATTCAATTATATCAATAATCTTGGTTATCTCTCAAAATCGCTGTGTTGTATCGAAAACAACTGAATTCAATTATATATATATATATATAGAGAGAGAGAGAGAGAGAGAGATCGGAATAGGCAAGGAAAACCCTAGTTTCTTGGCAGATCTGAATTGATTCATCAATGGAGGCCTCCCAAGGAGGATTGGAAAGAGAGAAGTCGAACCCATCATCTTCTACACCTGTCTCAATCGTCACCAATTTCTGGAAGGGTAACTGCAATTTCAATTATTTTTTCGTTTTTATTTTCGTATCATTGCATGTTACACTAAATTTCTGAATAATTGTAGTATTGATTATTTTTAAATTCTCACTGTTTTAGGTAAATAAGCTAGACCCAGTGCTCAATGTTCAACTAATAATCAAATAACTGACAACAAGGCTTGTATAAAGGGGACATAAATAAATTTATATTCCGGAGAAAAGCATATGATGAGGATGTTTTTTTGTTGGGATGAATTTGGGATTTTAGTTCCATTAGTTTGTTTTGTGCCATTTTGTGAATCATGTGAGTGAAGAGTGCACAGACACTGACTGTTTGAAGATAATTAGCTGGCAACTGAAAAGATTCCATGTAATGTAATGCCTTGACTGAATATGGACTTGTTAGAAGCTTATTGGCTTCTTAAAATCTATGGAAGTGATCAAGTCTGGATGTGTGACAGTGAACTGAATTGGCTTTTTGAAGGCAATATACAATAAACCTTCCACACTTATAACCTTCCTATAATTGGATTACCGGAAATTCTCATGTGACAGTAAATCATCCTCACTTGGTTTCTCAAAAATTATTAGAGGATTAAGGTAGGGAGACTATCTTTGTCCATTTTTCTTTTTACCTTGATGTTGGGTAGTGTGTTGTAGAGTGAAAAAGGGTTCCCTTCTTTCTGTTTTTCCCATGCTTGAGCTGGTTGATTTTATTTCCACAAATTTGTGGATGGCACCTTGAGTTTTTGACAATTCTGTCAATTAGGTAAAGTATATGAGATGTGTCTTGTGATTTTTTCCAATTTTTCTTGGCTTAAAAAATTTGTTAAAACATGATTCCAATTTTCGGCATAATAGAGGTTAAAAGTATATTACGAGGGACTGCAACTTTGGTTAAATGAGAGATTCTCATTTGGCAAACATGGCAGTGCCCCATCCCCATTGAAAACAAATATCTGCAATTCCATGTGAGGAGAAGAGGTAAAATCAAAAACACAAATAGAAGAAGGCAAACCCTGACCAGAATCATTGCCCCCATTCAGATGATACGGAATACATACTTCATGCCTCGTAAAAGAAAAGGACTTTGTAGCACGAGGCTTAGTACAAGTACAAACCTTTATAGCATGAGGTTTAGATAGTCTTGAGGGTGTTCGGAGGTATGCCCCTTTGTTTTTTGTACTTTGTTCTTTGGCTTGAATAAAATTTAAATTACCAAAAAAAAGTACATACCTTGTCACATGATTCAAAATCAGAAACCTTTTCACAATCCCGATCCTCAAAGCACATAAGATTGGAAGAGTCAGTCATTGAATCTTCTTCAAATAGAGTTGTCTAATTGATCTCTGAATCATCAACAAATTCGTTCTTAGTTTCAACACCAACATCATCTTCAGATTCCATTCCAAAGAAGAACTATAACCCACCAAGGCTTCCACAACTTACCAGGAGTCAATCAGAGCTTCCTCCACAAATGCTAAATCTATTTCAACAACCAAAGATGTAATCAAATGATCATCCTCTCCAAAATCGTGTCTCAAGGCCTCAACTTTGAAATCATAGTATCCAACCCTAACCCATTTGCATTTTTTGAGTGCAGCCCTATCAATGATCTCATCTAGGCCAAGTTGAATCTCTACCTCACTCAACCTCGAATTGAGGCCTTCGAAGCCATCGTCCTTGAATAATCGATCATTTGATGACACTGGATAACATGATCAGAAGCCTTGACCTCCTTCTTTGAATCAACTTGATGAACATCCAACTCTTCATAACTAGCCAAAGTAGCAAAGACATTATCAAGTGGAAAATACCATTGCCTCCAACCCCAACATTGAAAGGTCTGTTGTGACTTTCATTCCTTACCACCTTACCATGAGATCACTATAAATAGGCACGATTCAAAAAACTTGCATTCCCATCAATCTCAGAAATACCATGCTCAACCTCTGAATCAAGCACCAGCTCTAGCTTTTTCTTATCTTCAACATCGACCGATTGTCCCAGAACCTCAGCTTATTAACATTCCGAAATTGCAGATATTTGTGGGACCTATTATTAAATAGGCCTTCAAAGATTTTGGATGCCATATGAGTTACCCATTTAGCTTAGCTACATCGGGTATGATGCTAGGACATTGGGCACATGATTAATTGATAATGCTTTTTACCTTTGTGGAATTTATGTTGGTTTTGTTTTGGGAGAAGTCTTTTTTTTTTTTTAATAAAAAATCTGTGCTGTGAAAGACTGTTAAATACAATTTTCATATGTTTATGTTTGGAGAAATTGAAATATGTTATTTACTGGTCTATTTATATTTCTTTCTGTTGTTTGCAGACTTTGATTTAGAGAAGGAAAAGAGTGTGTTGGATGAACAGGGGCTTAGGATAGCTGAAAATCAGGAAAATAGCCAGAAGAACCGCCGGAAGCTTGCAGAGAGCACTAGAGGTATACTACATGCTTTTATTCTTTTAACAGTTGAACGATCATGATTGGTTCAGACTCAGGACAACCATCATCATTGGTTCAGACAGGCTGACATTCTGTTGCAAGCATGCAAAATTTTGAATTTATCTACTTTTGGGAACATTTTAGAGGAAAACAATATATATGTATATATATTCATCATCCCAACGTCAAAACGCCTTCAACCCAGTGTGCGGCTGGTGTTGCCCAAGAGGCGAAAGGCCCAAAGCTCCATATATATAGAGAGATTTTATGATCAATCTTCTTATAGTTGCATATTGACAGATTTCAAGAAGGCTTCAGCAGAAGAAAAGTTGGGTTTGTTCAATTCTTTACTTAAAGGCTACCAAGAAGAGGTTGACAATCTTACTAAGAGAGCAAAATTTGGAGAAAATGCGTTCCTTAACATTTATCAGAAACTCTATGAGGCTCCAGATCCTTATCCAGTTCTTGCTTCAATTGCCGTAAGTACTAGCTTGATTTTTTCAGGTTGTTCTATATACTAGGTGAACATTCTTTTTTAGGCATCCATTCAGTTCAAACATTTGCACCTGCCATCATGGCTTCTCACTGTTTTTCCATTATATTTAGCTTCTAAGATTGAGATTCAAAAAGGGCCTTGCTACCCTCTCCCATTAGTTGTGATTGTTTGACACCACTTGATCCCTCTTTGGTCAAGGCTTCTTGCTGTGGCATGCATCAGTTGGATGACTCCTTTGGACTCTTTTTTTATTTTTATTTTTTATTTTAATAAATAAAAATAAAATAATAACAATAATAATTATGGTTAGTTTTATTATGTTCTATTCCGTTCCTTATTTGGTTGTTTTTCGTTCTCTATTTGAAGAAAATTGTTACTCTGAGTATGCGTGCATGTGTGCTTGTTTGTTTTGATTGGCAATTTGTTTTTGTTTATTGCTAATGGTTTATTGTCTTTATGCAGGAGAAAGATTTGAAATTGTCTGAACTAGAGTTTGATAATCGGAAAATGAAGGTTGAACTTGAGGAATTCAGGACAGAGGCAACCCATCTGAAAAATCAACAAGCAACAATAAGAAGACTTGAAGAGCGCACCCGCCAGTTAGAACAACAGGTTAGCACTGCTTTGACTCAGTGGAGTGTTTTATTTTGGTGTTTTATCATACTTCTATACTTGACATGGTCTTCAATATTCTTGCTTATGTGGACTTGTGACAATTGTGTTGTATCTTTAATTTGAGAGTCAAAACAATGATTAATATGCTGGTTGAGCAGTTAAGTTATATCATAGATGTGCATGTGGTGCAATTGACTCTTTTGTTTTTCCTTTTTTGTGTGTGTGTTTTTTTTTTTTTTTTTTTGGGGTGGGGGGTGTCAATAAAAACAATAGGGGGCAAAGTGTGTGTTTTTGAACTTAAATGTTCTATTTATTAAGTTTGAGGTTTGCTGGAGGAGGGCAAGGAGACTATTTGTCTTCATGCATGGAGAATATCTCCTCATCTTTGAACTAGGGGACAACTCATCCCTGGACAGGTCACTCAACCCCCTTTGGTTCAATAATACGAAGGTATCTCAACTGTCATTGGCTCTCATGACCAGACTTTGGGATTCGTATCATGAGGCAGAGTGGTAGGTATGATGTACCAAGCTGTGTATCAGAGGAGACACAGTACTAGGTTTCATATGTTTTGTTAAGCAAGGTGCATACTTTAGTTTTATTTCTATAAAACAGCCAAAATATTTCTGTTTCCTAGGAAACCAATACTAGACATTAGTGGAAAACCAAAATTCCAATTTTTCTATGGAAACACCATGAAAGGCAATGAAACTCACAGAAACACTTAGAAAAACATTGAAACAATGATTTTTTTTAACACACCATAATCCTTGAACAAAATTGTTTATATTTTTCTCCTTTGTCATTTAAAATAGAGAGAGAGAGAGAGAGAGAGAGAGAGAGAAAGGTTAATGTCTGCTTCAAGTAGTATATTTGTGTGTACTTATTTACATAATGCACATATGTGTCTGGATATAAATTATTGTGCTCTGCAAGATCATTATGCTATGAAAATGTCCTTTGTTGTGCTTTCATGTATTATTTGTATGAGCTTCCCACTCTATTCTGCTCGATGACCTGAAACGGCTTCAAAATTATTATCAATTTGCATTATGTACAACAATCATTGGAGTAATTTGCTTTTTAGCTGACAGACATCATGCTTTGTACTGGGGGAACTCAACTATGGTGAAAAAAGTGTACTGCCTTTTTGTGGTTTGATTTTATTTTATTTTTGATGCATGTACCTTCTGATATGAGTTCAGATGGAGGAAAAAGTGAAAGAAATAGTGGAGATTAAGCAACGCAGTTTAGCGGAAGAGAACCAGAAAACATTGGAGGTCTTAAAAGAAAGGTAACAGCTTCTCTGGCGGCATGGAATGTACTGAACTTACATGATTGCCATGTAAATGGATTGGATTTGGATTTTAATCTGAAACCAATCCTTTGATCCTGATTGGGTATTGTTGAGTAATAGATTTGATCCATTGAAATATGGCTTTAGGGTGAAGAACTGAGCAGAATATGATCTGATCATATTGCAAAATTTATTACATTACTCATTTATGTAACATATGTGTGATGCATGTAGAAAAATGATTCATGTACCCACTTGATTGGACACAAGGCTTAGTTTGGTTTGGTTTGATTATGTGTGATGCATAAATTATAGTTATATTTATATAAGTTAAATGGTTATAGTGTAGTAAGACCACTACATAAAAAATTGTGTTTAATCCGCTAAAATTCAAGCTGTTTCTCAAAATTTTATATCTGTTAATTCTTGCTGGATTTGATTGGATTCCTTGTTGACAGATTCCAGTTTAAAGTGGACTTCTTTTGATCCATCTGAATATTAGATGTGGTCCAATTATAATCTTATTGGGTTGGATTCTGATCGACCTTGTTTGGTTTGAATCTAAGTTGTTTACAGGCCTATCCCAATTTCATCTGACCAAGGATAGCTAATGAGTTTAGATTATTGTCCGTGATCCCTTCATAGGCATGCCAATTCAAGAGCAAACCAGCAACATGATGTTCTTGTATTTTGATAGTTTCATATATTTACTTCCCATTCTTAACCCAAAAATATATATAAAAATATATGTTTTGCTTTATTATGTACTATAGTTTATGCTCCATTTGTTGATGCAGGGAACAATTATTGCAGGATCAATTACGACAAGCTAAAGAAAGTGTTTCCAATATGCAAAAAGTACATGAACTTGCACAGAGTCAATTGTTTGAAGTTCGTGCTCAATCAGGTTACATACTAATCTGTATCAATTTTATTGCAAATTACACACAATTTCATGGTGCCCTACCAGATATTTGCATTGCTAATATTGTGAAAATATATTGGGATCTTACTTCCATTTGACAATTTCAGAGGAGGAGAGAGCAACAAAACAGTCAGAGCTCAGTCTTCTAATGGATGAAGTTGAACGGGCTCAAACTCGCCTTCTTAGTCTTGAGAGGGAAAAGGTGCATAACAAAATCATTGCTTTTAGTTCTGATTTATAAGGATCAGATCAGACTAACCTGCCTTTTGGATTGTGTTAACTTTGTGGTACAAGGCACGTTTACTTGGTGGGTTTGTCTTCATCTTGTGTTTTTTGATTTAAATGTAAGACACATTCAAATGTGTCCTACTAGTAAAAAAAGAAGAAAGATCTAGACATGCTTCGGACATTTGGGGAACATACGTGTCTATTTCTGGGACACACGTGTCTATTTCTTAGACACGTGAAACACATTACAAGTTTGAATAAAATAACTTGGGATCTAATGACAAAAGTATATTAAAGTATATTTATACCTATTAATCCATCCTCCTATAAACTTTAGAAATTAGTACTGTTGTATTTTTTTTATTATCTTTAAATGAAATATTCATATATATGATGTACACTAAATTTGAAAACCTATACTCCCTCCGTCCCAAAATAGTAGTTCCTTTTGGGGTATCTAACTTTTTTTTATAATACAATTATTGCACTTTAAAAAAATTGATTTTCCAAAATTACCCTTTGATAGTAATTTTTTTGGAGAATATCAATTGTCATAATTGTACTTTTTGTATTGTTAATGAATTTTAAAAAAGGGCAAAATAGGAAATTCACAGTATTTTAGTTCTTAATTTTTGAAAAGGAACTCATATTTTGGAACAATGAAAAATAGAATAAGGGACTAATATTTTGGGATGGGGGAGTATATTTTTTGTGTAGTATGCTTCACATGTCATGTCTTGCAGTTTTTGAAAATTATCATGTTTGTGTGTTCGTGCTTCTTGGCAACCAAGTTCTTGCTGTATAGTCTATAGGATTAATTAGCCTTAAGGAACAGTTCCTTTTTCTGACATTGGAATTCATGCTTTTAATAATTTCAGGTTGATGGATGGTGTTTGCTCATTCTACTTCTTTCTTCTTGTGTTTTGTTGTAAATGTAGTTGATTGCCCCAAATTTTTGCTGAACTTCTGTGCAGGGAGTTCTTCGTTCGCAGTTACAATCAGCAAATGAAGATAATGGAAATAATAAAAAGTGAGCTTCCCACTTTTATGCCAAAACTGCTTTTTTGCCTTGTTTTTTGTTTTTTGTTTTTTGTTTTTCCCCGTCTGGTCTTACAATAACTATCCAAATCTGTGAAGGAAAGCAAAAATAGCAAGCTTCAATTTTTTGTTGATATTTCAACCTTTGCAAGGTTGTGATCTTATCACCAGAACTCGAATCCTGGGATTTAACCAATTGGAGGAATTCAAATCATGTGATTTTAAATATGTTAAATCATTTTGATGTTGAGTTTTTGATGCTCCAAGTTAGGCTTGGTTATGTCAGATCAGACATAAGCACTTGGAATTAAAGGCTGGATTCAGAACTTGCTGAATTTGACAAATTCCTGATGCCATTTAAGTTGATCGAATTCGTGTTCCTCAGACACTGTTCCATTTGCAATATGATTGGGAAAAGAGTTTTTTTTTTTTTCCCCTTTTATTATTACATGTTTATTTTAAAGAATTTTTTTGACAATTGAATAGTTAACGGTTGACTCGATTTGGTCCCAACCAAGAAAAGAAAAGAAAGAAAATCGATTTGGTGGGATCAAAGAGCCCTAATATGACGAGTATTGGTGGAATTTTGATTTGAAGAAGCACCTTGAATTGAATTAGGACAAACTTCTGAACTATGGCTATTAACATGGAAATTTGGGCTGACAGACATTGGTTAAATCATCAGTCAAATTTGGCATAGTAATTATTAAATTGGAAAACTTAAATTATCTGCAGTAGATCAAAAATTTGGGGCTTCGGTGAAAGTGATTCGGAAAGAAAAATGTTCATGAGTTTGCAAGTTACAAACTGTGCACAAACCAAAGTATCTGATCTTAATGTCCATTCCTCTGGTTGCAGTGACGATTTGGATTCAAATAGCATGCTTGAAAATTCTTTAAGTGCCAAGGAGAAGATGATATCTGAACTGAACATGGAACTTCACAATCTTGAAACTACCTTATCAAATGAGCGGGAACAACATGTGAATGATATCAAGAAGTTGAATGCATTGCTTAATGAAAAGGTACATTATTTTTGTATTTCCAGTTCTTAGTCTTATGTTTATGAATGGATACACTTTGGGTAATAAATTAATTTATTGTCACTTACACTTTGCACGGAGTCCTGTTCAATCACTAGCTCAAACAAATGAAAATTGTGAAAATCCTTTCCTTCATTTGATGTCAACTGCTGGATAACAATGATTCCCTAGCCTTGATACTTTATTGCATATTATTATTTCCCAGCTTCAGCATTGGCTTTGATACTTTGGCTTGACTCTCTTAAAATGAGGACTTCTAGAAATTCCCATGTCCTATGTTAGAATTTCACTTCTTCAAAGGTCACTGGGAATTTCAATTTTTCAAAGGTCACTGGGTTATTTTCTTCTCTCTCTCTCTCTCTCTAAGATTGATATTGTGAGCTCTGATGTGTAGAAAATATATTCTCATTTACTAGTTTTTAGTAAATGGCAAACTCCAATTCTCTTTCCTGTTGATGATCTTCCTATGGCTGACTACTTGAAAGTTCTTGAAAAATATATAGCAACGTCTACTTTGTGTTTAAAAGTTAATCCATTGGAGTGAGTAACTTCACTTCTTTCTTCGTTGACTCTGCTTCTGAATTGTTTTTGTCATATTTGGTGGATGTTTTTGCTGCTGTAATATTTTTTTGTTCTTTGTTAATCCACAGGAAGTTGCTTTTGAGGAGATCAAGAAAGAGCTTCAGACAAGGCCTACAGCAAAATTAGTAGATGATTTGCGGAAAAAGGTCAAAATTCTACAGGTGATTTTATCCCTTCTCTACAACTCACTCAACTATTTGCTAGTTCTTTACAATGAACTCAGTTTTGCTTTCCCTGAAATTACTGTAAAAATTTTCTTGATTCAAAATTATTGCCAACTTATGGTGATGCTGCCTCATGGAAATTATGTACCTATTAGTGATTAGATAGTAAAATTTATTTAGCCATAACTCGGTTTTTGAAGAGAGTTTTTTTTAACCAACTTATTCAATGCTTCAAAATCAATCAACATGGGCAAAAAGGTGGTTAAACCCACATTAAATGAAATTCATGGATCATCACATTTAACATGTACATTGCATAAAGTTAATCTATGGCCAAGTTCTTTGACATGTTTGGGTTCAGTGAAGAAAATGTTTTCCACTATGCCTGGAATCTGAAATCTGAATATTTTCAATGTTTGATTGGAATTATGATTGTTTGATCCCCTGGAAGGTCTATGATTCTTGAGAATGTCTGATGCATGTTGCCTAGTGGTCTTTCTGGTTGAGTTAAATCAGTTTTTATGGGACCAACTGGAGCTTGACTAATGTACACTAAACTAGAGGTAGTACACCAGCCTCACCGAATCTCAATTTTCTCAACCAGAAAGTGATGTGAGCAACAGTTAAAGGTTGCGGGCCAACATGTTTGGGGCTTAGCAATGGCCTTATAAGTCATAATTTATTATTGTACTAACATGATGACACCGTTATTATGCTCCTGTCTGACCACCACTGTTTTTATGTATAGGCAGTTGGTTATAATTCAATTGAGGCTGAAGATTGGGAAGTAGCTACTAGTGGGGAAGAGATGAGCAAACTTGAGTCTCTACTTCTTGATAAGAACCGAAAGATGGAACACGAACTCACACAGTTGAAGGTATGAAATCTTTCCGGTACCTTGCTCATTTATGAGTGCATCTGTTCCTAGTTTTCTTCAACTGTGTCATATGCAAGGATCCATCTATATCTCGGGAATAACAATGCTATAGATATAGAACGATGCCTTAATGTTTTGGAAATTTTTAACTGTAATTGTACTTTTACCAGTTTCCATTAATGATATGCAATTATATTAATATCTCTTCACTGCTTTCAGGTTAAACTTTCTGAAAAGACATCTGTGCTGGAACAAGCTGAAGGCAAGATAGCAGAACTAACAGCGACGGTTAATGAACAACAGAGATTAATACAAAAGCTAGAAGATGATATACTAAAGGTTCGCATCAAAGAATTCTAAGATTCTCAGCCGTGCCTGTTTGTTTACTAGATATATTATCTACATGTTGCTGTAGATGCTACTTTACTTTTGCATTGATCTGCAATGTCATGGATGGTTAGACCTATCTATTTTGCATCAGACATGAATTGATGTGGCTCGAACAAGTTCCATTCAGAATTTAACTTAACTGTTGAGTGCATTTTTATTTGTTTGCTTCTCTATTATAGTGTAGAAATTGTTAAGAAGTTAGTTCTCAACTACCTTTTTTTCATGTCACTCATTTTTACTTCCGATGCAGGGTTATAATTCCAAAGATCGAAAAGGCACTCTGTTTGATGGTTGGGATCATTCAGAATCTGTAGCAACAGAGGCATCTGAAGTAAGCCTTTTCCTTTTCGTTCTATTTTTCATTTACCTATATTCAAGATATTTAAAGAGCAATAGTGACGGCAATTATTCTGGGGTTGTGCTTTGTTGTTGTTATCTATGAAATTGTTTTTTTGGTATAATCTTCACCCTGCCACTTGGTTATTTTATGATGAGCCTGAGCTCAGATAATTAATCAAGAATTAGGATTAAGCCATGGAATAATGGAAGGCTTGACGGAGGTGACTGAAATTCTAGAATTGCCAACAAAGAGTCCTATTTCCTGTGAATTGTGGAAAATGCATCCTTTGGGTTTATGACTTTGTGTACATTTAGGGCATGTTTGGTTTGTTTCTCAAAATATGTTTTTGGAAGAAAAAAAATTCCAAAAGCATGTTTGGTTGAAAATTTGTTTTAAAAAAAAAATTCAAAATCATTTTTCTCTCTACTACACATCGGTCAATCACTTTTTCTCTCTACTCTCTCCTCAATCACTTTTTCTCTCACACCCATCTATTCAACTACAAAAAAATATAAAACCATCCCAAACTCCAAAATTATTTTCAAAATATACAACCGAACAAATTTTCAAAATTTCTAAACTCTCTCTAGAAAATTATTTTTGGAATAATATCTCAAAATTCAAACCAAACAAGGCCATAATTCTCTTTCTTAGCTGTTATGCGTCCCAAGCCCAGCTTTCATCTTCTAAGGTATTCTCAATTCTGCAATGCAGTTAATAAGCACAGTACCCACACCCACTGAAATTTCTACTGCATATAATAACACTTTGCAATGACAAATTCTTGGGATATTTTGAGTATTGAGATTGCCTTCTTCTGAGCTTTGAGGGCATAATTAAATTCAATAAAGGAGCATTTCTACAGTATCATTATGAGCATATAACCAACGTTATTCTTCATGTGCCATGTGTCATCAGAAGCTGTCGAGGAGTGGTCATTTGCAACCATTTGGTCATGTTAAGAAAGTGCTTATTCTTACTATATAATTATTCGATTGAATAGTGCTGATTGCTTGGTTAACACTTCACACATATTAATCATAGTATCATAAATCATGATTCATGATACACGAGGGGGACACTGGTTGAGTGGTTAAAACTCAGCCCGTCAACCTTGAGGTACGTGAGGGCAACCACTTTGTGCTAATAATGCTAAATGGTAGGTTTATTCTTACCTCTCCCAGCACCCCTGATAACGATTTAAAGCCAGACTTGTTGCCAAAGGTTTTACTCAAAAAGAAGGCATAGACTATACAGAGACCTTCTCTCCAGTATCTAAGAAGGACTCGTTTAAAATCATCCTAGCATTGGTAGCTCATTATGACTTAGAGTTACATCAAATGGATGTGAAAACGGCATTTTTAAATGGGGATCTTGAGGAAGAAGTATACATGAACCAACCTGAAGGTTTTTGTTCTGATAAAGGTAGTCACTTGGTTTGCAAGCTCAACAAATCCAAATATGGACTAAACTGGGCATACTTTTGTATATATCATAATTTCTGACATTTGTTTACAGGAACATTCTGTATTACATTACAATTCAAATGACTGAACTTAAATGTGTTCTCTGCGTGATGTTCTGTTGTCCTACTGTGGGTGTGCCTTTTTTCATGAATAATGTCTATGGATCAGAATGCAGATCAAAGACATGTTTCCTCAGATCAAGATCAGAGCTCAATGCTTAAGGTGATTTGCAACCAGCGAGATCGGTTTCGGGCACGCTTGCGAGAGACAGAAGAGGTATGTCATTTCAGCTTGCTCATCTCATTTATTGCTGGTATTTCTTTTTGGGTGAGAAAATGGAGTAATTTTTTTGTTTTTCCTTTTTTCTTTATTGCAGTTGTGTTTATTGTCTTTGTTAGATTATTGATTCATTTGTTTGATTTTCCCAATCTTTACTTTTCTAGGAAATAAGGCAATTGAAAGAGAAGATAGGGGTACTGACGGTGGAATTGGAAAAAACGAAGGCTGATAATGTTAAACTTTATGGGAAGATTCGTTACGTTCAGGATTACAATCTCGAGAAAGTAGTTTCTAGAGGATCAAAGAAGGTTTTCTATTGTATCTGCTATGATGAATTTCTTACTGTTCTAGTAATTTCTTCTAGCTCAAATTTCTGTCATTTTCAGCATGCAGAAGACCTAGAAAGTGGATTCGGCTCGGATGTGGAATCCAAGTATAAGAAGATATACGAGGATGATATAAATCCTTTTGCAGCATTTTCGAAGAAGGTTTCCTACTTTTTCTTCCTAAGCTTTTTGTCTAACTTGCATGAATTATAGACTTGTAATACGTGGTTGAATTGAGCATATTATTGGATTAAGCCTGCTAAATTCTTGTTCCATACTTAATCTTGTAGTTAACAAGAAGAAAACAATAGCTTGTGCAGCATCCTCTCTTGCAATTTCCTAGGATTCTGTTGCCATGAATACTGTGTGTATAGATCTTTTATGCACACAACTAAAAAGTGTAAAAGGCTTTATCTGGAAAGAACCATTTGTTAGATTTGATTGTGAATCAACCAATCAATTCAGTAAATCAGGCATGGTGCTGATTCACCCAAGAATTTGCATCAATTACGGCTTGAAATGAGCGAAATGTAAGATTCAAATTATGAATTGTATGATTAAACGACTATGGTTTTTTACATACATACAATGCAAGTAAAAAAGACAGTAAGATAAGTCTGTGATAAAGGACATGTCGCACTTGACCACAAGGAGATCTTAACAAAGAGCCAAGTAATCATGGATCCATCTATACATGTGTGTGTGTTTTGTACATAAACAGGTTCATATATATATATGTGTGTGTGTGTGTGTGTACATCTTACTGTATCCTCATCATAGCTGTGTCAAATTTTAGAAGTTTGGACAAATGTGATAAATAGATGCACTGCCATGCAACAGAATGTGTTAGGTCAATTGGTTGCTGCATTTCTTGCAAATCTCACAATGAAGATTATTTCGGAACTAGTTATGTGTTTGCAGTTGGCATATAATTTGTATAATATATGTTATTCCCGCATTGCCTTTTTTATGTTTGTATGCTATACTCTTTTTTGTGCTAATGTTTATCAGTTGTGGATCATGTGCTTACTAAATTTTTACCTTGTGATCAGGAAAGGGATCAAAGGTACAAGGAGTTGGGTTTAAGGGATAAAATTACACTTAGCAGTGGACGTTTTCTTCTTGGCAACAAGTATGCTTTCATAATCCTTAATATGATTCTCTACAACACAGCTACATTTGTTTAGTTAACTATTCTTTTCCTTTTTTTTTTTTTATAAAAATTATTAACCTATAACTTTTACAAGATTTTGAGTAGAATTGCCTCTAATGCAGTTGTCCATTATCATCATTTGGTTGATAACTTAAATTTGTTATCAGGTTTTCACTTTCATTTTTTTCATGCATCCTTGTTGGGTTAAACTTGTAATCTCAAAGATGTGTGAAGAGTGTGGATTTTAACTTCTTGTATTTTGTCAAAAACATAATCAAATGAGGTGGAAAAACTGAGTCAAGAACAATAATATGCTGATTTGGCTTAATTCACAAAGACACTTACAAATGTGTGATGTTGCGCCAGTTGCCCCACCCCACTGAAAAAATATGAGAGAGAGAGAACCTAGCCTAGCCTAGTTGACCGATGGATTTCTTGAGCTTAGCTCGTCTGTAACCAACTTCCAAACACATTGTTGAGTTTTTCACAAGCAGCTTCCAGATGATAGCTCTTCTTGTATTTAGGGTTTGTTTGGCATAAACTAAAAAATGTAAAAAGTCAAAAATTCGCTATCCTATTTAAGTCACATCATCTTATTTAAGTTATATCACCTCTCTACCACATCACTTCAAACTCAACCCATACCCAACTCATATTTCATAAAAAGTTAAAAAGTGCACTTATTTAGATCATCCCAAACAACCCCTTAGTTTGAAGCTTGTGTAGATGCTTCAAAGCTTGTCCATTTCTATTTACTCGAAATGAGTAAATTTTGTGTATTATGTATTCTTATTTATGGACCCATCTATTTAGGTTACTTTCATGTTTTTTGAATAGCATGAGGGGGGCCGCAAGGGAATGGAAAAATTATCTCCCAAGGAAAGTAGGGTGATTTTTGTTTCCTTTTGTTGTGTGTGTAGAAGGAAAGAGGGTTGTTTCTTGATTTTATTGGTATGTGCTTATATATCAGTGTTTTTTGAATCACAAAAACATAAAGAAGAGGCTCTTTCTCTTCTCTTCTCTTCCCTTCTACACGATCTAAAGGCTTTCTCACTCTTGGAATATTGATTCACAATGAGCGCTCCTGCTCCTCTCGCTCCACAAATCAGTTACCAGTATTTGCTTTTGACCTAAAATTATTCTCATGTTGTCTTGAAATTAAATGGAATATTAATTCTAATTATGGAGAGGCTACAATAAGTGGAATAACATACCTAATCTCTTGCAGATATGCTCGGACTTTTGTCTTCTTCTACACCATCGGGTTGCATATTCTTGTATTCACATGTCTGTACAGGATGTCTGCTCTGAGTTATCTCAGGTAACCCCATCTCTCAAAGCATCTTCTTGATTCTACCAACCGATGTTCACTAACTCAAAACTGTATTTTCTGCAGCAATGGTCTGGAGGAATCCCTCATTGGAGTCAAAAACCTTAACCTCCCACATGCACTATGAATGCCACATATCGTTTTTTAGTTTTTTTGATTTCCCCGCTCACTAGAGATGGGAAGACATAGATTGAAATACTACTGATACCCTTACCAAAAAAAAATACCACTGATACAAGTGCCTTACAAAAATGTTTTGCAATGCAATGTACATATGACACAGGATTTTATTTTTTTTTGGCTTGTTGGGAATGGAATGTGTTTTTATTTGTCTTCTGCCCATGCCTGATGGTTCAAAGAAAACAATGACTTTGTTTCTGCTTGATTAATCTATGATGTGCCTTCAGCAAATTGGATTTATTTAGGTTAGATTATATAATGTATGTAAATCTATAATTGTTCTTATAATTTTAATAAAAAAATATATAAAATTTGACAATGCTAAACAAAGGGTGATTAGGGTGGCATCCATCTTCTCCAATATTGGTAAATACGCTGAATGCACAATCAACTCCACTTTACTTTTGGGATGTTTGGTGGAGATTATTTTAAGTTAAAAGTTGATAATTAAAAGGTAGAAATTAAAAATTCTCTGTTCAGCTTTTGAAAAATCAATTTTTTAAGTTTATTTAAATTATTTTTGTCATCAATTTTTTAAGTTTATTTAAATTATTTTCGTCTAATAAATTATAAGCAGAAGCTATACTAAATAGTTAAATACAAACTCTCATATTAAAAATAGTTATAAGTTGTTTCTACAATTCTCACCAAATTTTCCCTGTGTTTAGATTCCTTTATACATTTAAGATTCTCAAGATGTAATCGGTTGTAATTCTTTTAATTGATAAGATATAAGGAGATTTATTAGAGGAATAAAGTGAATGTGTATCCAAAATTGAAAGAGGTTCGAGCCAGTATTTTAGCTTGGTATGTGATTCACTCGATTAAAATTTGTTTGGAATGAACTCTATTTAAATTTATTTGGAATAAACTTGAAATATGAGCAGGAGGTCAAGTTTAAATGACATGATACTCAATTCCTATATCCAATTCCAAAATTTAAAAATCTTTAATTTTGTTTCCTCTTCAAGTGCTACTACTAAAAAAAAACAGTAATTAACATGATTGATCTTGTCATATTTAAGTATTTTAAAAAACAATAATTTAGAAAGATACAAAATAGAGAATTATTTTGCTAGTGGGATGTCTTTTAACTACTTTATTTTTTTGTTTGGTACAACGGAATTAAAACAACAAAGGAGGAACTAAGTCCTCATCCTACCCAAGCCTATCATATCAGCAACAAGCAACTCTCTTAACTCAGCTGGTGGATCATTCATCACCAGTATTTCTTTAGGTTGATTGGCTCCCATTTTTGCCAAAAAATCAACACACAAATTGCCTTCTTTCCATACATGTTGGACAGAGCAATCACACCCTCTGAGAAGAATCTAGGCATCCTCCACCAGGTTCTTGAAAGGGCATTTGTCCCTTGGTTCTTCTTGTAGCAATTGCATTACCTGTTCGGCATCGGTCTCGATCATGACTTGGTTCATTCCTTTTTATAGTATGATAGTCAACCCTTTGTATACAGCCCACAATTCAGCTTCTAAATTGGTTCCACTTTGCAATTTTCCATAGTAGCCACACACCCAAGTTCCTCTTTCATCTCTGATTAGGCCCCCAAATCCTCTATCGCCACCAACTCTTCTGCTGCCATCCGTATTTAATTTTAGTCTACCTGCAGGTGGAAGACACCAATTAATAACTCTGAATGCAAGTCTGGTCTTGGATATAGAATGAAGGAATGCTTGGTTAATCTCTCTTGAGTAATCCAAAATAAATTTAAACTCTTGGAGTAGATTTTTGTTCAAAAACCATTAAATTCCTATTCTTCCAAATTTTCCATAAGGAAATAGTAAAAACAGATTGCCAAGAGATAGTGTAGTTAAAAAGTTTTTTGTTTTTAGCATTACTCTTGAGCCAATCCAACCAAGGCATCTTCATCATATCCCGATACCAATTTTGATTACAAAAGTCAAACCCCTTTTTAATCTCATTTGATTTGTAAGCAGTTTCCCATGGAACACAGTCCAAAGGAAGCCTTTGAGTTTTTGGGGTATTCGCATCCTCTATAACCAATTCCAATCCTCCTCATTCTCAGTCTCACCAAGGATGAGGTTATACACAGATGAAATAGTGAAAGAACCAGCAGGTGATCCCTTCCAGAGGGGACTATCCATCTCCAAAATACCAGGAGGAGGATTATTCAAGATCAAAAATGCAATATTTGGAGTACATAAACTGTGAACTTTGATCTCATTCCAACTGCCATCAGAATTAAGCAGCTCACTCACATTATTATAAATATTACAATTATTGTGTAAGTTTTGGTTAGTATTAGATTCAAGGTCCATAAAAGCCTTGTCTCCACACCACCAATCCTTCCACACATTCACATTGTTTCCATTGCCAACAATCAATTTCACACCCTTTTAACTACTTTTATATAATAATTATATATGTACATAAGCAACCACCAACAAGGTCGTTGTAGTATAGTGGTAAGTATTCCCGCCTGTCACGCGGGTGACCCGGGTTCGATCCCCGGCAACGGCGTACGTGGCTTTTGTTTTTTATTTCTTCAAAATTCAATTTTAGCGGCGGTGATTAGAAGAAGAAGAAGCACTTGCGGTGCAAGTAGTGGATACAAAAATCAGAAGAACTTTCAATCTTTTACTTTATTATAATTGTTTTTTCAACAAATCAGCATCACCATGAATGCAATTGGGGGTTCAATTTGTTTATCATCATCATCATCTGCTGTTCGATTCCCTTATTGGCGTCTATTCTGTAACTCATCTTCTTCTTCATCCTCCAAAACCCTAATTTCTACCTACTGGAGCAAGACTGCCAACGCTATGTCCCAATTCTCATCTTCTTCTATTACATCATCGCCGTCGGCCTTGGAAACGAAGCCCAATTCACAGCCATGGCTCATCGTCGGCCTTGGTAACCCCGGGAAGAAGTACAATGGCACCCGCCACAACGTCCGTACCCCCTCTCTCTCTTGTTATTGTGCTTTTTTTATTTATTATTTCTTTTAGTTTTTTAATGTTATTGAATTGCTTTGGTTACTGATTTGCGATTTGAGAGAATGGGGTTTATGATGAAATGTGGGAAGATTTGAATGGTTTGGGGATTATGACGGTGAAGAGTATGAGAACATGAATGGTTGCGTATTGTAAGGGCATCTGCAACCTTGACTACTCAAACCTATGTCAAATTTAAATTTGAGTTAAAGTACTTAAAAATCTCTCCACTTTTGACTCAAAGCTCGTATGAAATTGAGTTTCACCCATTTTGTTACCCAAATTAATGGAGGCTGAATTGTTTACTCAAAATTTTCAAGACCATTTTGTAGTTTTCAAATTTACGATGAAGCTTTTACGCAAATTTTTGCTTAAATCTGAGTTTTTCCATTGGAGTGTTGCATATCAAATAAGGCTTTACTCAAATTTGAGGAGATAGCCTAATGATTAATATAATTAGGCATTTCCCTGCACCTATGAGATCTAATGGCCTCATTTGTTCTTGATTCGGATTCACCATAAGGAATTTGTGGAATCTTAGAAATGGGTACATTTCTCTTAATGTAGGGATATTTCTGATTATGTGGAGGAATTACAACTGTTCAAGCTGAACTAATTATTACTTTAAAAAAACAAACAAGGGTAATTTTAGATTAAATGTGTTCTTTTTTGTAAGTTGAATAAATGTGCCTTCTTATGCACTGGTATGAAGAAAAAGGGCTTTTAGTTATATAATTCGGAGCACACAAAGGTATAGGCATATGTTTATTTTGTTACTGTTCCCTAGGCCTCATCGACTTGCCTTTCATGTTCAAGGGAAAAAAAAACAAAACAAAACCAAAAAACAAAAAAAAAGGAGCTTGAAGGAAGCCTTATCTTTTAGCAACTTTAGCTGATACTTCAGATGTCTCTTTCAAACACGAATGTTTGTGTATTGAAAAAGCCAGTCGTATCTTTGTTGATGTTTCCCTAGATTTATGAATTATATCAATGCTCCTAGTTTCTCTTGCTCAACTGTGCTTGCCCTTGAATGCACGTGGGGTGTTGGATCTATATTTTGTGATTTTTATTTTTCTTGTTTGTACAAGGGTTGTGCCCGCTCAGCATTTTCATTAAGACTTTTGTTATGACAGAACAAACAAAACGAGAAAGTAAAACTAGCAATCACACAAAAACACTAAGATATATGTGGTTCGGCTATAAGCCCTACATCCACGGGCGAAGAACGGCTGTTAGTTTCACTATCAAAAGGAGAAAATACAAAGGAGCAGTTGTCTCTCTTCCTAGCCATTTGTAACCAATACAAACCCTAACCCACGAAATAACCCACACACACACATATATATATATACACTAAGATCCACATATCAAGAAACCAGGTTGGGTAATTTGCCCATTAATCGGGTCAACTGGATCACAAACGGGTTATAAACACAAACCAGGTAGAATACAAGACATCCGCAACAACTTTAATACAATTTTCTTTGGTGTTGATAAAAAAGAAGCTATTAGGCAAATTGTCTTGTTTCATTGTTATTAGCACATCTTCTATGGTCTTGGTTCAGACTCACAAGAAGGTTCAGAGTCTGACCCAGAAGAAACCGTGTTGTGCAATGTGCATCAATTGTCATCAGTTGCACTTTTTTTTACTACATTATTGCATTTCGAGTTCATTCTTTTTTCTTAATCATGATAGGGTCACCTTGTTGACTACATGCCAAATAAAATCATGACTTGTTCACATGTGGTATTTGACATTCTACACTCTTGCAGAACTTTTGACATTCTACACCTTTGACTAAATTAAATATTTTTTTATGGGCATGTAAATGGACACAATAAGTAGGCCACTTGATATGAATGTTAAGTTCTATAGCCCAATACATTTTAAGATGCTGCATCTTCACGTGGCTACAGTATTAGAACAAGTGATACTTACCATCATTATTTGGATTATTTGACTATACTGATCATTAACTAACATTTTAATATGTTTCCGTGCAAGTTATGCAAGTCTTTCCTGTTTTTGTCACGTGAAATGATTGTTGAATCAACTCCTTCATGGGTTTCTATGTATTAAATTCTCATCCATAGTTATTAATTCACAGGTTGATACTCGTTAAAATGTCTGTCAGAGATCATAAACATCTATCACAGCATACTCTTGCTTTCTCTTCCTCTCTCTTCTTGACACTGCTGTGTGATTGAATTTTTCTAGGTGGGTTTTGAGATGGTAGACGCTATAGCTGAAGCTGAGGGGATATCTATGAGCAGTGTTTCCTATAGGGCCCTGTTTGGAAAAGGTGCTTATTGTTCTTACCCTTTCTTTTCCTTTTTCTTTTTTTTTCTTTTTTTGTGTGTGTATGAGAGAGAGAAAGAGAGCGTTAGTGGATTTTGTTTTAGTTACACATTACCACCACTAATGCATAAAACTTGTGCCAGTGCTGCCCTCACAAAAAGAAACTAAGTAAATAAATAATTTTTTTTATGTAATACTGGTTTAGATATAGGCAATTTGAATAAATGTTTAACATAAGGTACATGTGCAATTGATTAGCTCAAGTTATAAATTATGTGTGACAAAATGTAAGATGAGTTTTACATGGGAGATGAACATATAAGTAGATAATTCTACACCTTTAATTTCAATACAAAATAACCAGCCTTTTAATTAAGCATTAATTACACTTTTGGTCCCTAAATTATATATTGTGTCATTTTGGTCCTTTCTCTCAAAGTATTGAATGTGTTTTAGATTCCCATAGCTAATGCAATGCAATCAATATTCATCATTAGAATCAGTAGTGTTTTAGGACAAAAAATTACACATCAGCAAAAAAAAGAGTCAGTTACACCTACAGATAAACAATCATATGAAAGTTAATGAATAGGGTCAAGTTATCAGATCAAATATCCGAAATTATCTGATTCGGATGATTTGATGTTGGATATGGTGGTGGCGGATTTGGATCAGATATGGACTTTGTTTGTTTTAATCAAATTCAGATTTGGATTTCGAAATCCAGTCTGTTTAAAGGACTAATTTATACTGTGATTTTTCTGGAAAATCTACAGTGACCGTTTTTGTATTACATGATTCTCTCTTTCTAGGAGCTGTTCATTTTTCTGAGCTTTAGATTGCTGACAACTACTACTATTAATGTAGAATTGTAGAACAAGAGTCTAGAAATTGTTCTGGTGGGACATAGTTTGTTTGGAATTCAATCCATTAAGTAATAAACCTATATAATAATCTTAAACAAATATTATGTGTAAACTATTGAAAGAAGGTAGGAGTTGATTGAGAAAGGAAACTGAATGAATCTGCTTCTACTCCCTGCAATGCTTGATTTTAATGCAAGTGTTTCCTTCCTTTGTAGGTTACATTGGAAATGTTCCAGTTTTGCTTGCAAAACCACAAACTTTTATGAATGCAAGTGGTGAGTCTGTAAGTAAGCTTCTCTGAAAAAAATAAAAATAAAAATTCACTAACTTTTTTAAGCTTTAATTACAGTTAGTTGACTTGTCATTTTGAAGGTTGGAGCAATTGTTTCATATTACAAGATTCCACTGAAGCAAGTACTTGTGGTACAGTAGTTTTGATTGTTTTTTGTCGATGTCAGCATTACCTCTGTCTATAAGCTCCAAACTCACAATTCTCTGGTGTGCAGATTTTTGACGACTTAGATTTGCCTTTTGCAAAATTACGGTTATTGCCGAAAGGTGGACATGGAGGACATAACGGGTATTTATCATGTCAATGTATTCTATTTTCATCTAAAATCTAATACTAAGCATTTATTATGCATGTTGAGTCTAAGAAGAATGGACATTCTAAGAAGGTGGTGTGTCTGTGTCAAACACTCTAGTCAAACACTTCCTAACACTTATTGAACACACTTTCAATCATGTTTATGTTTTAAATTTTTTTGGACACCCAAAATTCATGTGTCCATTTGTTAGACATACATGAAACGTATTATAAATTTGAACAAAATAACTTAGAATATAATAGTAAACTATGAAGCATGGGTACTCTGAAAATGTTGCCATACTCATACCAATAAGGCTGCATGCGTTCCGGGTACTCGAAATACGTACCGGGTACTTTTATACATGCTCTGGCAGCTGGGTACTTCATGGGTACATCGGGACTACAACAAGTTATGGGACATTGGTGGGAATACCTTTAATTTATTAGAGAATTCTTATTTACTTGAAATTGCAAATCCTTTATTTGATGTGCCAGAAATGAAAGATATATTACTCTATGATGAAGTTGATGGAAGTGAAAACTAAAACTTCAAATTTTTAAATTTTGCTTTGCTTTGCTTGCTTTTTGAATGAAACTTTATTTTATAATTTCTCCTATTTAATGGCATTAAAACAGCTTATAGATTTTGCTTTGGTATTGGTATTGTTGAATTACGATTTCTCTTTTGGTTTTGTAATTTCTCCTTTTAGTTTTGGTATTAAATTTTGATTTGTATATTGAATCTCAAACTATAAATCATAAAAATAAAAAATTGATTAAAGACATACCTCAGTCGTACCTATATCTTATTTTTTTTAGGTTTTGCCGTATCAGCGTATCTGTACCAGTATCCGTACCCGCACCCATAGTAAATAAAAATGATGTAGATTTATACTTATAAATCCCTTCTCTAAATTTTAGAAATTAGTGCTATATTAGATTTTATTTTTTATTTTTTTTTTGTTTCATTTTTTATTATCTTTGAATGAAAAATCTTCATAACATATAATAAATATATAAAAGTATATATTTTGTTTGTATCCCCTATGTGTTGTATCTTGTATCTTTCAAAAATTATTTGTGTTTGTATTGTGTTGCGTGTCTTTTTCGTGCGTCTTAGCATTAAGCATATTTTGAGAGATGTAGATAACAAGTTGATGCCCTGAATTCAGTTTTAGGTATCAAGTTTTCACCTTTTGAACTCCTTACAGACCATATCTTGGACTTTAGCTGAGTTATGACACTTGGATGAAGTGGAACCCCAATATAAGAGGTAGGGGGGAATGGTGGTTGGATTGGGGTTTGCTTTTCTCACTCAAACCAAACGGCTTGCACGCTTTCTTCTCTTCACAATGTATAGTCACAATTATGGTTGAGTTACTTCGTGATTGCCTCATTTGGAAAAAATTATATCCCATGTGGTGAAAAACCATGGCCCACACCTCCATGGTCCTTCAATTCAAGAATCAGGACGGGCAAGCGGGAAAAAAATTAAATAGGGCAAATTTCTGTATGTGTCAATTTGTGAACAGAATTGGAACTATGCTGGCGTTGGACCACGGAAATTTTCCATCTACATTGAGATGCTTTTGGGTAATTTGATGATATCTGTGCTTACTGTTTGCGGCATCTCAGTTAAATTTGGAGTCCAGACAAAAAAAATTAAATAAATAAACGAGAGAGAGAGAGCAACGTGTTTGAGTAATATTGTTTACAACTTCAAAAATATGATTATTTGAAGAGTTATCCTTCCGGATTTTTCTATTATAGCAATATCGTGGGAAAACAATCGTTCTGTTAGACTTACAAATTGCTTGTTGCTTGGTACAATGAAAATTATTAATGTAGCCATGATAGAACAAGTCTATTAAGATTTCTTAATTTGGATATGGTAGGTAGTAAGTTTGATGTCATGGCTTCCTCTTGCAGCATGAAGAGTGTGATTAACCACTTCAAAGGGAGCCGTGATTTTCCTCGTTTGAGAATAGGTAGCTTCCAAATGCCAAACTTGCCAAAAGTCTACTCTAATATTTATTTCAGCAGCTATGTTAGGAACATAAGATTTTCACATAATGATGTGAGACAAAAGGTGGAATATCTGGGTCCCACACCTTTGTCTCATATATTTTTGAAAAATATTTGGGACCCCTACAAAAGAGGATCCCCATGACCCCCATTGATGTATTGGCCATCGATGTGTTTGAATTTTTTTGGGAATTGTGGCTGATATTGACATGAATGATTCAAATCATTTTGGGAGTTGTGAGGGTTGTGTTTTGTGGGAGTCTCTATCATTATTGTATATTTTTCAATGAAAATCTTTTGTGCACTAGGCTTTCTCTTATTTCTGAAATTTCTGTAGGCATTGGGAGGCCTCCTGGAAAAATGGATCCTGTCAACTTCGTTCTTCGCCCGTTCAACAAACAAGAACAAGAAGAGGTATGTAGAATATTCACACACACACACACACACACACACACACACACACACACACATATCAATAGGAAAATATAAGAAACCTAGAAAGGTTTTGGATTCTTAGACACTGACATTGGTCTTTTTCTTTAGTTGGATTTTGCATTTCAAACTGGCATTGAAGCAGTGCGGATTCTTTTGCTCAACGGTTTTGATAAAAGTGCCACATTTGTTAATAGTGGCAAATATTTGGAACAGCTCGGTTAAAAAACTCTCCCAAGGCTTTGCTTCTAAGAATTGTTCTAAGTAATTATTCTTAGGTGATCGGAAATGGATTGATGATATAGATGGGCGAGGAGAATTTGTGTTTTATATAGTGGATAGTTCATAGTTATGATTTTTCAGGATATGGCAAACTGACTAGAATCCATTAGAGATTAGCTTCAAAACCCTTTTCAAGATTAGCAAACTCATGGAGGGTTCAAGCCATGTTCTTTGATAGAGCGATTGCAGCCACAAATACCAAGTTTTTACGATTTGCATTCGCTGGAATGAGTGAGAATTTGTATTCTTTCAAGAACCAGAGTAATTTTATCCTCAATTTATCATAATTATTATTTTTTTTTGGGGTCCCAAATCTGCAGTGTGTGAATCCCTTGTCTAAAGGATATTTATATTTCACTGCTCTTACTTGTTGCGTAGATTTGCTAGACTCGGGAGAGATTCTAAAGTAGAAAATTACAAATTGATTTTAGGTAAGGTGAAATCAAGCTATCTTTTTCTCTCTTTTTTTCCCTTTATTTTTATTTTTATTTTTGGGCCATTTATACACAAATCATAATTTATGAATTTATATTTCATCAAGTTCTAATTAAGATTTTTTAGACTTTCAAGTCCTATTAAATTTTTAATAATTGAAATTGTTTTTCAAATAATGGTTGTTCATCATTTATGATTATTTTATAAAAAACATGATGATTTGACATTTATTTTGATTTTTAAATTTTAAAATATCAACTTTCAAATTGAAAAAAAAATTATGTGCAAAAAAAAAAAAAAAACTATCTAGGTGCAAATTTTGAAAATTTTGAATTATTTTTTTGTGCAAAAATTGAAATTTTTTTGTCTATGAAGGAGCATGATGATGGAACATTGATATGCAAAATTTAATTAAAAAAAAAAAAAAAAAAACTTTAAAAATGAGAAAATTGATAATATTCTTAGTTTTAAAATTTAAAAATATTGATAATATTCTTAGTTTTATTGGATAGTAGAATTAAATCAATAAGTAGAAGGATAAAAATGTTTAATCTCATGTTTTGTTTTTTTCATCAATTAATGAAATAATTATCTGGAATATTACTGTGTAAAATTGATAATATTGTTAATTTTAAAAATTGAGAAAAATTGATAATATACTAAATATAATTTATTGGTTCAAAAAATTTTGAATAAATTCTGAACTGTTGTAACATTTGGAAACAGAATTTTTAAGTAATTAATTTAAAAAAAAAAAAATTTTGGATACATTAGAAGGGAAGAGGGAGTCGAGCCTGAATTTCCTAGTGAGATTCTCGGATTTTAATCACTGAGCTAACACACTAATGTTATCTTTAAGATAATAATTCTCATGTTACGAATATATGCCCAACAAAAGTGGAGAATAGAGAATATATAAAATTGTTCAATATTGATATGGTGATTTTTAAGTGCGATCTATGTGTAGGTCTTAGTAAGTGGAATTATTATTTAATAAATCATGTGATAATTAACGGTGTTTTTCATTCAATACTATTTAAAAATGTCACTAATTGTTAATTTTTAATGATAAATTAAAAATTTTATTATAAAAAATGTCACTAATTATAAATTTTAGTTACAGCTTAAAGGAATCGTTACCCAAAAAAAAAAAAATACTAATTTATAAAAGTCAGTTACAATTTGAAAATTTTATTATAGAAAAACATCACTAATTGTAAGTTTTAGTAATAATTTATAAAAATTTATAATTGTCAATTTTTAGCAACATATGCAAAAAATTGTTAAAAAAATTAATTTTAATGATAATTTTATTATGACTAACTTTCAATAAGATTTGATAGAAATTAAACCCAACTATTAAAACTTATTGATAATCTACTCGATTCTAAATAGGTTTTGTTAAAGGAGCACCTATTTGCACCTCAAAAATTAGGTTCAACACCCTAATTTAATTATATTTTTTATGACTATTAAGTTTCTATGTAAAATGACCAAAAAAGACTTCACATTGCAAAATGTGTAAATAAAAGTGTGTTGGATACCTCCTTAATCATCAGCCTCTCTCTTCTCTTTTTACTTTGCATCACTTTACATCTCTATACACTACTCAATTTGTTTTAATTCATCATTCTTACATTCTATTTCATATTGAAATCAACAATAGACAAATAAAGAAAATGTTTTCAAAACAATTTTTTATAGAGAAAGTAGTGTTTTATTGTTGTATTGTTTTTCGTAATTTGGTTTTCCAAATTCATTCAAAACTAAGTATTTGAACAAATTTTATATGTTTGGAATTATTTTGTTCGACGCTAAAGTTTCCATATGAAATAACTTGAACTACTTTTCTTGTGTTCGGCACTGAATATTTGAAAATCAAAAATTGTCAGTGGATGTAGAGTGAAAGAAGACTGCCAGTGGATATAGAATGAGAGGAGACCTTCGTCGCTTGAAATCCCTCTTTGTCATGGATGAACCCTCTTTGTCACTTAAAATTCTCTTCTTATTTTATTTCTTTGTTTATAGGTAATAAAATGTACAAAGTAGATTTAAATAGGATTTTAAGAGTTTTACGCTTAGAATAAATATTATTTAAAGTATCCAAACAAATAAATAAAATTTTAAATTTATTATTGAGATACTTGAAATAATGAAGTGTATAACCTAATTCTTGGTGCATTTAGAGCCTCCATATTGTTAGATTATGGAGTGTTTTAGGAAGTTGGTAAAAAGTTGACTTTTTAACTTTTTTTGTGACTTTTTTGGTTAAAAAAGCTAAAAAATCAAAAAGTTAACTTTTTTAGCTTGTTGCCAAAATGATCCTATAGCTTGTTGCCCTCGTAGAAATTATGTTTCAGTGTCAAATACACCTCTTCAAAATTTAAAATGGAAAATGTTAGGGATTCTAAACAATCTATTAAATTTTTACTAAACATCTAACATGGGTGTTGGACCTACACAAACCTACATGTATGTGGGTCCCACACCCATATAAGAGGTTTGATAAAAAATTTAATAAATTATTTAAGATCCCTAACATAACTCATTTATAATAGCATTACAAATTGTGTAATGATAGAGAGCTCGAACATGAGCACTAGTGAGGTGTCAAATCAAAATAAATAAATAAATAGATAAAGATTAAAAACTCTAATTTTAGAGTTTTAATTTTAGAGTTTTAATAAAAATTTTAGTGATATGATAATGAGTAGAATTCACATATGATGTGATGTGTGTATCTATATTTTTTTTTATCACATCATCTATTAATATACTAATATATATATTAATTATTACATATAATATTATTTTAATTCAAATTCTCAATCATTGTTATAAAAAAAAAATCAAAATATTACATCATCATATAAAATTCACCATCCAACCCATAATCATTACATTCTTCTCTCACAAAAAAACTCAAAAAAGTCAAAAAGTCAAAAAACTCTTTCCAAACCAAGTTTTTAAGCCCAGACTAAAATAGCTAAAAAAAATTAAAAAGCTAAAAAGCTAACCCACTTCCCAAACGGAGGCTAAAACTCTTCAACTAAAACTCTTAAACATTATTGTTACAAATTTGTCTCTTGCACCTTTTTCCCGTGAGACTGTAAAGACACAGGTGGCATAATAAATTGAAGCTTACCTACAGAAGGACGCATACATTTCGTTGACAAAAACACCGCCATACTTGCATTGGAAGCACCAACTTCCAATAAATGTATTTCATTTCATCTAGCCAACTTGCATTGTAAGTATCAACTTATCTACAACACTAGCATTGCATATTCAAAAATTCATCAGAAAATAAAAGGTTGCGTTTGATTGAATTTTTTAATTATGATTTGAGAGTATGAGTTATATTTTAAATTTATAAATTTTAAGTTATGATTTGAGTGTGAAAAAATTATTTAGTGAAAGAATTTTGAAAATAATTTTGAATTGAGTAGAAAATTTTTGATGTAACATTTGATATTTGATACAAAAACTTACAACTCATAACTAAACAAAAAACTCAAAATTCTATTAAAGCACATAATTTTTTTTAAAAATTCGAAAAATATTTTTTCGAATATATAAAAATTAACATATCAATTGCAACAAAAAAAAATTATACTGTTCCGGTCAACCGACCGGATGACCGGTGGGACGACCGATTAGGTCAAATTTCAAAAAAAAAAAAAAAATTTGAAAATCGCGCTCTCAAATAGAGTTTTTTGTAGAGTTGTGAAAAATTAATTTCACATATCTATAAACATCATATTCAAATGTGGGAGTAGAAAACTCGTTTGGAAATCATTTCAAATAGAGCCAAAGGATACGTTTGGTGGAACTTTAAAATATAATTTCATATTTATTTTTGAAAATTTTTTTTAAGGCAGAAAAATTTAAGTTAATCAGTTGCTTCACTGGTCGTCCGACCGATTGACCAGAGCAGTGTTCCTTTTTCTTTTTTTTTTTGCACATGTTATTTTTATATTACAAAAAAAAAATATTCGTGAATTTTTTTTAAAATTTTTTATGAGTTTTGAATAAAATTTTTGGTTATGTGTTTGGTTATGAGTTATAAATTTTTGTATCAAATATCATATGTCACATCACACAATTTAAAACTCTTAACCAAACAAATTTTTCATACTCAAATCATAATTTTAAAACTCACAAATTCAAAATACAACTCTATTATTAAATCATAATTTTAAAATTCTACCAAACACTAAATAATAAATTTTAATAATTTAAAAGTGTGACCCGTATTTCAATAATTTTAAATTTATACCGCACAAGTAATAAAGATTCAAAGTAAATTTTGGGCTTGTTTGGTTTGTTTTTTAGAGAGTTGTTTTTGAAAAAAAATTTGGGGAGACAGCTTAGAAATTTTCTTGATTTGTTTGGTTGTATATTTTGGGAGAGTTGTTTTTTTGAAAGTTTGGGATGATTTGATATTTTGGGAGAATTTGAGTAGAAAATATGATTGAGAAGGAGAGAGGAGAGAGAAAAAGCGATTGATTAATGTGTAAGAGAGAGAGTGATTTTGGAAATTTTTTGAAAAAAACTCAAACCAAACAATTTTTTAGAAATTTTTTTCTAAAACTCATCTCCCAAATGCAAACCAAACATACCCTTTATAATTCATACTAACAATCTTTCTTTTTTTTCCTTTTTTGAAATGTACAATCCTTGTGAAGAAAATAGAGGGTGACATAGGAATGTGGCATGTGGGTCCCAAGAAAAAGCCATAGCATCCATAATTTTTTTCTAAACTTACAGGCCAGGTTTGTTTAACATAGAGGATTAAAAATACAGAGAAATTAAGTAAGAAAATATTAGTGTAATGATATTAGGTTATACATCACCAAATTAATAA